ACATGTACCCCTCTCACCGCGGCCATACGGGCGGTGCCCACAGTGCCAACGGGCACGAGTCACAAGACAGGCTGCTCCAGCGCGAAGCTCAGCAAGGTCACAACCAGAGGAACCGCCAGCGCAGCCGCCCCTGGCCCCGAGACACCTACTGAGACAAGGGGCCCCTTCCAGCCTCCAGCTCCCCCCCCCCCCCCCAAGCCCTCCACCCACCGCACAGGCCCAAACTAGCAACATAGAGATGAAATTTGTTCCCAGATTCGCCAAACTTTAGTGCCAATTGGAAACAAACACAAACAGATGCCCAGTTTATCGACCAATCACAATCTTCCAGGGGGCCTACTCACCTCTGAAAGGGAAAAGTTTCAGGCTACCAGCTGTACGCAAACTCAAACTTTAGCTGCTTTGCCTAAGGTTTCTCTATTGTAGGATGTCTCATATACTGGCCTTAAAATTCCTAAGACTTTTAACGATCTTTACTATTGCATGTATAATTTTAAGACTATTTGCACATTAACGTCAGAACAGGAAGTGAATGACCTTTATGGATAAACTAACGTAGGAATGTCTACCGCTGAATCAGTTATGGGAAATAGTAATGCATTTGATTCCAATGTATATACTGAATGGGCACTGCTACTTTATTTGTTTGATTTTGTTTATATGGACTTGTTTGTTGCCATCCATGTGTTCGGTGAACGGAGATTTTTGGAGAGACATTGTACAGTCTCTAAACATTTAAAACGTCATCGATATGAAGCTGCAGTACAGCGTCAGCGTCACCTACAGTGCAGTACGTTCTGGGCATCGCTCGTCTTTGCTGTTGCACAATCACTCTCTTAAGAAAAAAAAATCTTTGAATGGGCACAGAGAATGTAAACACAACCATGAAAGGGAATGTTTTAAATCTTTTAAAGGATGAATTCCTTGCCAAAAAAACAAACAAAAACAAAAAAAACACACGCTTGTTTACATCCACTCATACACATATTTCAAGCACATGCTGCACAGCTGCAGCTCCTCTTCAAATCCAGGCTTCAGAGAATGTAAGCTTGCATGCCTTTTGCACCTCCAGCACCACTTGGTCGCACAACCTATCGCCCCGTAAATTCGATTGTAGCACGTTATTGATTGTAGCATCCACAGTTTCTAAACTGATCTCACTCCCCTTACATCCACCTCACTCTCCTCGGATATTTTTTGTGTGTCGAACATTGTTTGCGTACTGCAGTTTTACAGCTGGTTTTTACAAAGGCGGATCCTCAGGTGTATGTCCTACAACACTCATCGCGCTCAGCTCCATGTAACGACCGTGTCGTGCTCCCCGAGGACTTGTAGCACTCGTGACACGTCATTCTGTTCCTGCGCCATTTCTAGTCCGTGAGCCGACCCGAGGTGGACGCGATGCTGATAAGCGGCGGCCCAACTCTGTTCCTTACACAGGGTGGATTGTTGTCACGGCCGGCTGATAGGAAACCCTGGTTTACTGCTTCCATGTGTCACAGGTATCTCTATCTAGTGTTCTGTATATTTTAAAGAGAAAAAAAAAATCAGCATGATTGAAAAAAAAATTAAGAAAAAAATCTATGCAAGTGTTGCATGAAATCTGATTGTTTCTTTTGAAGTATTTTAGTAATGCATCGATTCTGACTCTCCTCGTCGTCTTGTAGTGATAGTCTTGTCTTTGGGGCTACTCACTCCTCGCACCACCAACAACACGATTACTAAAAAGATCTGTTTATTTCTTCACACACCTTTAACACTGAGGACATTCTTCCACAGTAAAGTCACTCACTGGGGGAAAAAAACAAAACAAAAAAAAAAACCCGTCCCAGATCAGGCCTTTGATTTTGTTAATTTGTGATCTAATGAGTGGATTATCTAAGCCCTGCATGTCTTAGTTCAACAATTAGCTCCTTTCGTTATATTTTGGCAGAGTATGTTTTTCAATGCGGACCAATTTAGCAACTGATAAAACAGTTGAAGGTTTTTCGATTTATGAAGCACAATTTTTACAAGAGTTATACTTCAGTTTCCTCTGTCTTATTCTGTATGCAATACAAAGCCTAACATTGAAAAACTTTAAACGCCTTAGACCATCTGGACTTCCTCTTTTGTGTGAGTAGAGAAAAAAAATTGCACTACTTTTTTTTTGGGATGGTTGCTTTGTAATGCAATAACTGCACTAAATATAACCATATATCCACCAGACTACCACAGCGTGCTAGCGTGACCTGACACGCCTCTTCCCTCTATTTATCAAAAGAGACAGCAAATGAAAAAGTGAGACATTTCCTGCCTGATGCTGTATAGAATGCTTTCTATTTGAAAATAGATTTACAACGTTAAGTAAAATATGAATTAAACTAAATAAACATGACATTTTATGTACTTTTAATGGTGTAACTCATTTGTCTTTCATTGTCATTTACTGACCAATACCTATGAGCATTTATGTGTAGCAGGAAAGGACTGTCTGCCATAAGAATTAAGTGGATCTCCAACTGGATTAACAGAGTTTCAGTCAGGATTCAAAATTCATCACTGTACAAAAATACTGTGAAGGTTATGAATGATGTTCTTATGGCTGCTGACAGTGGAATCATCTATGAGCATCTGATACCAATGACATGCATTGGTTTGCATGAGCATGCAATATGTATTAAAGGTACTGTGCTGGAGTGGTTTGAAGCATACAGAATAATTCCAATTCGTTCATGTAAATAGTGTCATTTTCACACAGTAAAGTTAATTATGGAGTTCCACAAGGTTCTGTGCTGGGACCAATTCTATATGCATTATACATGCTTCCTTAGACAGTATTATTAGAAGGAACACCTTACATTTTCATTGCTATTCAGATGATACCCAGCTTTATCTATCCATAAAGTCAGATGAAACCTACCAGACATCAGGAATGTCTTAAAGACGAAGATGTGGACGACCTCTAAGTTAAGTTATTATACTGGCCTAAAAAAAATCTTAGAAACCTGGGCCCGTATCCCTAAAGATTCTGAGAATCCTCTCAGAGAGCTGCTAACTTAACCTAAAAATTCCTTGCCAGGAGTTTTAGCTTAGAAGTGATTCCAGAACATTTTCAGTGAACTCTGAGCAAGGAATGGATGGAAAATCCTATCTTAGTGAGGAGGTGTGGTTGACCCCGTTGCTAGGTATGAGTCATCATTTCAAAAGCCGTGATTGGTTGATCCTACAAGTTTGATGGAAATGAGCTTTTGGTGATAATGAGCAAAGGATGTACCCTCAAATCAATAAACATAATTATACACTCTAATCTTATGCTGACTGTAATTGTAAATAATATTTCACATTCAAGAAAATATCTGGAAAATGAATAGTAAGCTGTAGGGGTTATAGCCTAACATTAGAATCTAAAATATGTGAAAACTTAAACTCATTACACCCTGTTCAAATAATGATTTGTGTCTTATTTGCTCATATTAATATCCTAGCTGGCATATTTTGTACTTTCACTCCCATATGGACCCTGTTGAAAACAAGATGGCCTATCTCAAGGGGCTGTCCTTAATGAAGTAGAAATCACAACGTTACAAGTCCAGTGTGGTCTTAACGAGGGTAACACGGCTCAGCTTTTAGCAATGTCTGTGATTGCAGACCCAAGTCATCACTGCTGCATTGTTGCATTTTCCCGGATGCCAAATACCTCAGGGTTGTGATTACTTTCGTCTCCGGTGTAATAGCGTTGTGGCGTCGAGTTGGTGAAGTAATTGCATCTCTAAGGAGATCCACCACAAACATGATTCCTGCACGATCCAATCTGTAGCGTCTCAATAATTCCCTGTCATCCAGTGTTTGCAGGACATCTCTCCTGCCTCTTCTGTTGGCCATTTTGTGCAGCTGCTTAGGGGAACTCCTAAGCCACTAAAAGTCCTCTTCCCTGCTCTTAGCAGATCTCGCCTTAGGAGCCCTTTTAAGCGCTAGGAATCTTGAGGAATAGCTTTTATATTAACTGGGATTGTCGTGTCACTTTTAGGGGAAATTCTAAGAAAACGTCATGACTCTGAGAATTTTCTTAGAATTTGGCCGCTAGGAGCCACTTTTTGCACAAAGATTCTTTAGGGATACGGGCCCTGGTGTGTAACCAGGTACTTACCCTGGGTGGCATTTCCTGGCTTCTGGTAACACTGTGAGGAATCTTGGAGTCATTTTTTAATTTAAAGTCTTTGCCCTCAAATACAAGATCTTGAATAATCTATGAGGTATTTATCTTAAACACCTCATAGTGCCCCCAATAGAGCACCACACTCTCAGACTGCTGGCTTACTTGTGGTTCCAAGGATATTTAAAAGAAGAATGGGAGGCAGAGCCTTCAGCTTCCAGGCCCCTCTTCTGTAGAACAAGTCCCAGTTTGGACACCCTCTCTACTTTTAAGATTAGATTTAAAACTTTCCATATTGATAAAGTTATAGTTGTTCATAGTTTCAAAAACAGAACTTTCTGCCTCTCTTTGTATTAGCAGAAATGATTGAACTTCAGTATTATGGTGTTATTATGACGTCCCACTACCACGTAATTGCCAGGTAATAGTTCGATATTCCTTCATTTTCAAATGTAAATTTTAAGAAATAGGGAGTTTTGCATTACTCTGTCATTATTACTGCAATGTCCAAAAAGCCTGCCTCAACAGCTGGTGATTGGACTGCTAGGGCCTCTGCCCAACACACACTGCACCTGACCCCTATGGTGCCTCTTGAAGGTGGTGAGCCACATGGCATAGATAAACACATAAAGAGCTTTAAAGAGTTTTCCTATATAAAAGATATTGGGGTCAAAGAGTTTTTCTGGTTAAATAAAGGAATAAAAGGTTAAAGAATATAGGTGGGAAATGCCAAGAGGAAAACTAAAGGAGATATGAAGAGCTCTATAATTGGCATGTTGAAAGGAAACACTGCTCTTCTACTTGTGAAAACTCCACATTTCACGTGTAATTTAATGCAAAAAGAAAAAAGAAAAAAACAACTCAGTTTGACAGTTAAGAAGCTCAAATTTGCTGTATTCACATCATACATTTAAAACAGCTGTTTCCATTTTAATCAAATGATGTATCTGAAGCAAAGAAAACTGGTGTCACTTCTGGTAAAGGTTTCTTACATAGAAAACTCAAATTATGACTAAAAACACAGCACTTACTGCTCATCTACACTCACATCCTGCCTGTAATTTGGTGCATTGGGTATTTATACAGTACAGATCAGATCAGATTGGGGTCCTGCATACTGCTCCTGGTTCTGGCTTACAGACGCAAAACAAAGTTATCTTAAAATCCACCCACACTGATGAGAACCAGTGTGCTGACGACTTCGGCACCAGTTACTGTGTTTCTGCACGCACAGATGGGACCAAAACACAAAGACAAGGTGGGAAAGAACAAAATGTGTGAGAGTAACCTAGAGAGCAGATCCTGAGAGGGAGAAAAATAAACAGTTGGTGGGGTTTTCCCCTCCCCCTTCAGTTGATAAAGGTCATTTTAGGCAAAAATGGTCTCCTCGCGTCTCTTCTTGGTCAGGATGGTTCCAGGTTTATGCTGAGCATCTGGATGGTTAGCCAGCTCTGGAGGGCAGGTGGAGACGGGACTCTCGAGGATGGCCTGCTTCAGGTCGTAAAACACCGCCGAGTCCTCTTTAGTGAGGAAAGTCATGGCTACACCACTCTTACCAGCACGACCCGTACGACCAATACGATGGATGTAGTCTGCAAGAGGAGAAAGTGCAACAACGATTCAGTGAATCATTTAGTGATTCCTATGGCAAAAATTTAATTTCAGTCAATAAACAAACACTGCACACCAGATGAGGCCTCTTACCTTCGATGTTCTTTGCCATGTCGTAGTTAATGACCATGGAGACGTCCTGGATATCGATACCTCGCCCAGCAACATCTGTGGCCACCAGGATATCTTTGGCTCCCGCCTTGAGATTGGAAAGCGCAAACTCTCTCTGCTCCTGGCCTTTGCCACCGTGCAGCGTGCAAGCATTGTACTACAAAGAAGAAGAGAAGGAGGACCAGTGGAGGTTAATCTTTGCTCAAAATATTTAGTATTTTAGGAAATCAGAAACCAAAATGAATTAAAATTAAACCTCCATCTGAGATTTATTGGCTTTCTTTTGTATTTTGGATAAAACTTCTGACAACAAACGGCAAAACTCAGCATTATGTCAGGATGCAACACTAGCACTGAACCCCAAGTACAGCTGAGGCTAATACTGTGCATTAAAAAGCTGTTGTTGCCTTTTAATGTATCTGGCTTTCCGAATTTTCATAACTTCTTCTTTATACTAAAACTGTGGGTTTTTTGAGTGATTAATATAATTTTAGTGCAACAAGACAATTTGTTCTGCTAGTAGGAAAACAAAAACTTCTAGGAATATTTCTCTTGTGACCTTAAACGTATCCGAGAATAATTTTAAGGCAATCAATGAAATATTTGTTGATATTTTATAGAAAATGTCCCCAGAAATTTCTACAGGCTGGCACAAACATCAAATGTCATTTATCTGTTTATCCATTAATTGATTTGGTGTATTATGAGTGGCAATGCTTCAGGTTTTTATCTGTAGGAAAATATTTAAAATCCAAAATGCTGTCTTTCACATATTTCCAAAATCGTCCTGGACTGGAGTCTTTCTCGGGCCTATTCTGATCCCCGGGCCTTATATTTGACACCCCTGACATGATTGTTACTTTTTTTACTCCAAAGCATGAAGCTTCTACCAAATCTCGACCCCAAATTGAGATCCATTGTGGTTCAGGTTACAGTGACTTACCCCCATCTTCTCCAGTGACTTGGCCAGCACGTCGCAACCCTTCTTCTGGTTGACAAAGATGATAATCGGAGGCTCGAAGCCGTGCGACAAAACCTCCAGCAGCTTCTTCCTGCAAGGGCACATTATACAAAACATTTAGAATCTTGATGCAAGTGAAATTTTTGGTGTTTAAAATTAATGCTTGCATCCGTCTCACCTCTTCTCTCCCTCCGACATAAGCAGGACCTTCTGTTCGACTCTCTCGTGAGGCTTTCCAGCAGACCCGATGTACACCACAGCAGGACGTCTCAGGTAGCTCCTGGCCAGTCTCTCCACAGCGGGAGGCATGGTAGCTGTGAACATGACCGTCTGTACGGTGCAATCAGACACACAATCAGTGAAAACACTCAACAGATAATCATGTGGTACCTTCAGAAGATTCCAACTGCTAAAGAAAGACCTACTTGTCTGTATTTTTGTTTCCCGGATTCAAAGTTCATCGTCATTTTCTCAGGGTCCTCCGCCTCTTCGGTGTCTGGCTTCTGATTGGTCACCGGGATGTATTCCAGAATCTTTTGGACGTCGGGCTCGAAGCCCATGTCAATCATACGATCGGCCTCATCGAGGACCACGTAGGTGCAGCGGCTCAGTACCAGGTAGCGGTTCTCCAACACGTCAATCAGACGGCCGGGCGTGGCAATAACGATCTGTTAGACGATGTAAACAAATATGACGCTGGTGAACAGATGATTTTCAAGTAGAATCCTCACCTTATGGATAAAAAGCCAGGATGGACTTCCTGCCAAAAAACACAGTGTAAAGTCTGTGTGTATTTAAGCTGCTAAGCTACCAGCGTCTGAGAATGAGCCATGTGGACTGTTTGTACCACCATCTGTACCGCTTCCCTCTTTCTTTACTCACATAATATACACACTGACAGAAGCACTACACATCACAAACACACACAAAACATATAGACGGTTTTCAGAAAAAACATCAATAGATGCTCTATGCCATAGACATGAAACTGATGCAGTTTTACCATTCAAACAATGACAAATCCCATGATACTGATGCTCAAAATTAGTTATAGAAACAAAGTATGAAATAAACTTGGAAGCCTGGAAATTATAAGAGCAAGAAAAAAAAATTGCCAATATGGAGCCCAATCATGAAAGCACAATTCTTTATGCCTTCATCAAATTTATTACAGATATTCATGGCTCGGTGAGTTAGCCCACAACTCTCTGCGCTTTTTAATTTATTTACAATTTGGCAAATGTGCACAATTTACATCCTGCTCAATTTGTTCAGCAGCATCTTTCAGTCCATGTTTTGAATGTGCACAAAATTATCAAGAAGCATGTGTGTATTATATCCGTGTTCTCCCATTAAGCTCTTAATGTGGGAGACTGTAAATAAAGATTGGAAACATTCTACTATAAACAGAGTGAATCAGGAGTGTAAGCATCCACGCACATTAAATAAACTTGGCTGCAGGCTGACAGCAGCCAAGTCTGCAAGAAAGCTGCCAAATTTAAGAGCTTGTGGCAAACAAGACAAGCAGTTTGGATTCTTTATTCGGTAACGCTGCTTCTGTTTAACACAAGCAGTGGATTGGAGCTTTCATTCTCTTTTAAGCTTGTTGTTCAGGTGGTTTGATAAAAGACCTTTTTTGTTTTTCTGGGGGGGTTTACCTCTGAAGGTTCTGGTTAAGGTTACAGTGAGTGTTGCTGAAGAAACGTCTCTCACTTCACCTGGACTTCAATTTCCTGGTTGAAATATCACCTCTGTGTGTGTGTGTGTGTGTGTGTGTCTGTGTGTGTGTGTGTGTGTGTGTGTGTGTGTGTGTCAAGAGACTACACCTGTGATGAGATTGTTACTGCTCTACAAATGCAACAGTAGTCCTGCACCATCTTCGCCTTTCTGCTGAGTTTATTTCAGTAGCCTCATGGGCTTCTTTTGATGTAAAAATACTGACAGCAAACAAAAACTACTAAAAACTACTTGTTAGTGAGGCTTCAGTTTGCTTCACAGGCAGAAACACTTTTTTTTTTCTCTAAAATTAGCCCTCTCCGTTTTACCTCACAACCCATCCTGAGTCGAAAGCCTTGGTCCTCTCTGGAGATTCCTCCGATCACAGCCACAGTTCGGATGCCGAGCGGTTTACCAAACTTTATGGTTTCTTCCTCGATCTGCTGCGCCAACTCACGAGTCGGAGCTAAGATCACAGCATAAGGACCCTGGTCTGAGTCTTCGATCCTGCATCCAGTCATACAGAGAGCAAAGGATCATAAGAGATAGTAGAGGCACAGTAAGACAGTCCAAATGCAGAGTTATTATTTCTGAAATTGCTGAAGATTATTGGATCTTAGACACGTTACCTGTCGATTTTTGGCAGGGTGGTGATCCAGACCAGCAGTGGAATCAAGAAAGCAGCAGTTTTACCGCTACCGGTCTCAGCCACACCAATAATGTCACGGTTCTGTAAACCAATGGGAATGGCCTGCCTCTGAATCGGCGTCGGATCCTGGAGAGAAAAAAATTAATAAAAAATTCCTTAGTGGAGACTGAATTGAACACAGTGAAAAACAGTGAACAGCTACAAAATAATTTAAAAAAGAAAAATTACAAAACACAGAACCAGATAAGTTGAACCCTAGCTGACCTTATAGCCGCATTTGTCGATGACCTCCAGAATATGTGCAGGCAGCGGGTACTCCTTCCAGTTCCTGATGGGATTTGGGATTTTTCCTCCTTTGGTGGTGATGCTATAATCCTCTCTGAAGATTCGCCAGTCTCTGTCTGTCATCTCGTCCAGCTTCTTTTGAGACCAGTGTCTGTCATCCCAGCGCTGCTTGGCCTCCTTCTTACGCATCTTCTTCAGTCTTGTCCTGAAGCGAGGTAAAACAAAGATTAGATGTGGGGTGGGCGGAAGCTGAAGGTGAAACTATGGATACAGGATCATTTTCCATTATAGATACTCCACTGTACTCACTCTTCCTGCTCCTTCTCTTCCAGCGTGCGCCTTTTCTCCATCAGGTCACCATAGAAACGCGACTGCTCCCTTTTCTGCTGCTTTAAGTCAATGCCGGCGATGAAGCCTCGTCCGTACAGCTGCACCTGATGCTTCTCTTTGTAACTGCAAAGACCGATCACGAGAGTTTAGCGAGGGAACGCAAAGACCTAATCTGTGGATATATTTTGTGCTCACGATCCACTCACATCGGGTTGTAGTCGACCGAAGTGTCTTCAGAAGCATCCCATTCAAACACAAATTTCCTGTCGTTCAGGTGGCGAGTCCGTCGCCGTTTTTTGATCCCACCAAGATAACGCTCCTGTGAATAATTTGTGGACATCGGTTTAAATTCTGCTTTTCCAGTTTCCCTAGGAATTTTCAAGCCCCTCAAAATAATAAGTGGAAGTTTTGTTTGTTAGTCTACACCAGGGGTGCCCAATCCCGGTCCTCGAGAGCTACCGTCCTGCAGCTTTTAGATGCATCCCTACTCCAACACAGCTGAATCAAATGGTTTGATTACCTCTTCAGCATGCCATCGTGTTTGGCAAAGGCCTGATAACAAGCCATTCATTTGATTCAGCTGTGTTGGAGTAGGGATGCATCTAAAAGCTGCAGGACGGTAGCTCTCGAGGACCGGGATTGGGCACCCCTGGTCTACACACAATAAAGTTTCTGTCAGCCCAATCTGTACACAACTGTAATTTTAACTCTTTCTCATGCAATTAACCTTGATAGCCTGGAGTTCTTTGCCTTTATCTTTCTCCTCTCTGAGCTTCTGTCGCTCATCATCATCTTCATTGCCGTTGTTCTCTCGTTCCATTCGCTCCCTACGCTCCCGCCTCTCCCTTTCCTGAGGGTCCTCTGTAACAAAGAATCACGGTGGTTATCGACACGTTAATATCCTGTAATTAAATGCAAACTGTTTCAGGTTAGAGGCTGAAACACACCCAGCATTTTTCTCCCTATGTCCTGAAACGTCCTTCTCTTCTTTCTCTCCTCTTCAATCATCCTCCTTCTCTCTTCAGTCTCTTGCTCTCTGCGCTTCAAAGCTTCGGCTTCTCGCTCTGCTTTTGACAGGAACTTGGGCTGAAAAACACAAAGCAAAAGAAATAATATTAATTTAGAGAAAATATAATCTTAAATTGAAAAGTTAATCTCCCAGATGAAGAGCAATTCACAAAACATGAATGCAGAAAGAAAAAAAAAAAAAACTAGTTCAGGACTAGTTCACCCCGTGCAGGGCATACTTTTTGGTTCCCCACTCTGGAGTCCGGAAGGAGCTCAAGCAAGAGTGCTTGGTAGCTGGCCCTTAGCCCACAGGACTCAGTCGGGCACAGCATGAAGAGGAGACATTGGCATGCCAACACCTGCAGTGCCGTAGGGGTCGGATGCAATATGTGTTGGCCTGGATTTAAGTGGAACCAGTTTCCTAAAGAGGAGTTGACTGTGCTACAATCTGGAGTCGCCTTCAGTGACAGGAGGTGGGCAGGCATGGGTATAATGTTAGGGTTATTCATGGTGGACACAAGTGTTGCTTCCCAACATCTTTGGGTTGGGAAACTGGTTCTGACTGCTATTTAGGCTTACAACAGTTCAGAGTATCCAGCCTTACAGGAGTCACTGTGTGGTGTGCTGGACGCTTAGCCTGGGAACCATCTTGGTGTTCCCATGGATGAGCTGGAAGGAGGTGGGTGGGAATAGGGAGATCTGGCCATCTTTGCTTAAGACTTCTGCCCATGTGCCCTGGCCCCAGAAAAGCTTTAGAAAATGGACAAACTGACAGACGGATGGATGTTCTCACCTTTGCTTCAGCTTCCTCCTCTGCCTTCTTCTTGGCCAGAAGCTCCTCCAAAGACAGCGGCTGGACCTGAACAACAGCACATGTCAAACACCCAAAATAATAACCGAAGTGGCAGTTCAAATTTACACAAACACTAAACCAGACTTTTACCTTTTCCTTCTTCTTTTTTTCATCCTCCTCATCTTCTCCTTTTATATCCTTCTCTTTCTTTATCTTGGCATCCTTTGATCTTGGAGAAGCGCTTCTATAGATGACAAAAATGTAAATACGACAAAACAGAAATTTAGCTGAAGTGCTAACTGTAGCAAAATCCAAACGTCTGGATGTTTGGTAAGAGTTTAGTTAACAAGTGAGAAAGTGCAGCTGAGAACTGACTTCTGAGAAGAAAGGTGACTTAAAGGGAGAGGAGGTAAAACTGCTTCTTTCAGACATAGGATGAACTTCAGGTGGTTTGATAAAAGACCTTTTTATTTGGATTGAGGCTTATTTATGAGAAAAAACCCCTCACTGCTAACAGTTGGCCTTATCGGCATTTTCTAATATGAGGCAACAGTAATGTCAGTGCCAAAAATACTGTGCACTGAAAATATTGTCACTTAAATTGGGTTTAATTCCTTTGAATATCAAATTTTTGTTAATGTGAAAAATATTGGCGTGTTATTCAGGCAAACACGGATTATGAAATAATTATGACTAAAAATCTCCTTTGCCACCTTTGACCGAAGAAGCTTAATCAGTGTCACATACCTGGATCTCCTGCTGCGATCTTTATCGCGCCGATGGCTGTCTCTGTCCTTACGGCTCCTGTCTCTGTCCTTATCTCTATCTCGGTCCTTGTCTCTGTCCTTGTCTTTCATGCGTCGATCTCTATCGTAATGACACAAAATCACACAGACACAAAAAAGCTTAAGGGAAAGATAACACAAGTACGCAGTAAGATTAATAGCTAGAAGTCAGTCTGGTGTTCCTGATGGGTTCTTTTTGTGCAGCGGTTACCTTTCGGGAGATTTAGAGCGGTTTCGTTCACGGGAACGATGGCGCTTGCGGGAAGGTGAGACTTTACGATCTCTGTCTCGCGAACGGCTGCGTTTCCTCTCTCGGTCTTTGGTCCCCGAAGAGTCTGCATCTTTCTTGTCTGTGGAGTCAGCTGCCATCTGCACAAAGACCAGACATTAAACTCTGCTTTCATTGCATTTACAAAAGTGAAAACTGTTATCACACAACAGTGGCAGGACATATATTAATATTACATTATATTTGCTTTATGTACAATGAGTACAGATCATGCGTTTGCCAGCTGTTACTGTTTATATATTGCTGTGTACGCATCTCCAAATCCAGTTTTTCTTTTCACCTCTAATTGAGTTCAGTTGACTAAATTTGAGAAAAATTCCTAGCCTGGCCAACCTTGATTTCCCTGAAGAAATATTTCAGGGTGATGATACACTTCTTAAGAGACAAGCTGTCAAATTAAAGCTTTCTAGTGTTAGTTTGCTCATAAGACTATTTTTGCGATAAAGCTAGGGATATTTTCGAGCCTATTTAGAGTTTTCGGTGGAGTCATTTTCAAATGGCTTTATCTGGACAACTACTTAAGCAATGTCATTTCAATATTTTAGGCCAAATATCTGTTTCTATTACTTGAAGAAAGTGAGAGTCTCTGGTTCAGACAATATTGAAATTGTGAAACATATTTACATTATTCATGCCATATATCTTATCAATAGCAAAAGACGAAGTAAAAAGGGCCTGATGATCAGAGTGATGATGTTTTGTTTTGTTTCTGATCATGCAAGGAAGGGTGTTGCAACCTTTGTCCGTTTGTATATTTAGCTTAATCCTTTGGTCTAATTTTTCTGTCTGTAATTTTGATAATTTTTTAATGGCTGACAATTTTGAACTCAATCAAATTGTGAAATACGAAAAGAGAAAGCACATGAAAACAATAGCAATACAGAAATAACATATGTTTTGTGGATGCATAAGTTTCTTATGCCCTAAAAACGGGTATCAGGATGTGCCCCAAAAAGTGAAGACAGCTGTTATTCCTCAACACTCTCCGATAGAAAACGCGATTAAACTCTTAGAGCAACAAATAACGACACATTTTTTTGTGCGGACAGAAATTACAAACCAATAACGAAAATGACTAACTTGTTAAACGAGAAGAGAAACTGAATTACCTTCCTATCCTCTGCAAAATAAATGCAGCAAGCTAGCTAGCCTCTTACGTTAGCTAGCAAAAAGGCTAACTATCTCCAGGAAAGCTGCTCAAAAGAGCTCCGGTTAAACCAAATTAAAATCAGCTAATCGCAGGTAGGACAGCGCAGTCAGAGTCTATGATACTTAAAAATATTTAGAGCTTACCTCAATCACTTGTCAACAAAACAGTTACGGTTTATCTACGCTTCAAGAAGACGCCATGTCGCCCGCAACGCGAACTGGAGCACGCCAGGAATTGTGGGGGCTGTAGTACTGGCTGTTACGAAACAGTGGAAACTAGCGGCTAAAAGGCAACGTTTGAAACTACATTTCCCTCCCAAAAAAGTAAGCTTACGCCAGGGCCCTCAATGTTTAGCATACAGACGCCTAAATGCCTGAGCAAAATTACTTTCTCTATTATGTTGTATTTTTGTCATTTTGGGCACGAGGTGGCGATAGGGTTACGAGTTGCCACGATAGATAGAAACTACAGGTCTGCAAAAAAATGTTTTTTTCAACTGCATGGGATATTTTCGGTAAATTTTATGTTTTTTAGGGTGCTGAATCCAAAACTGTTCTCCATTTCCTTCCATTCATCAGCTGACCCTTCTCACCCTGGACACAGTCTGGGCAGGAGGCTCCGGTCCATTCGTACCAGAACCTCTCGCCATAAGAACAGTTTCTTCCCCTCTACTGTTGGACTCATGAACAATAACCATATGACTGTTCGCACGACTAACACATGACCTTACACTGTGTTCACAGCATCATTCCAATTTTGCACTGATCACCACCTGCATTCATGTATATATCTATCTACTTAGCACTTTTAATTTTAATTTTTATGTTTATTTAAGCGTTGTCTGACAGTATGTTTTTGCACTAAGTACCGCAGCAATTTCCTAATGTTGTAAACCTGCTCAACATTTGGCAATAAAACCCTTTCTGATTCTGATTCTGATCAAGTACTTTTTTTGCAAAACATGTGGAGTTTACATTTTTTTAAAAATCAATATTTTTTTTGCAATTAACTATGCATAATTTTTCTGAGATTTCTGAGATAATTTCGCTATGAACAAAACAAAGCTGTTGGGACATGCTTTATTGGGACGTGTTTTTTTGACACAAGTATAGGGGTTACCGGATTTCAGTTTAAAATTGGAAAATGTGCATTTAATTAAACTAAAAACACAAGTTTTGCGAGAAAATCTGACGAGATGGAATATTTTCCTAGTTTCAGTGAGTAAAAATCTATAAGAACCAGTCAATATATCCTATTTTGGTTGCAGACCTTTGGAATCTATCTATCTAAGCTATTTCACACAGTACTGAAAGCTATTTTCAATTCTGTGGGATGTCTTCTTGGCCTGTTATTGCCTGATAAAACCCTAAATGCTATGCAGACCTGCTGATATGATGAAACAGTGTTGTCTGCTGAGCAGCACTTAGAGCGGCTATCCTTTGCAGCAGATTAAAATTCAAGAAGTGCTGTTCTCTTAGTGCCAAAGCTAGAATATGTTCTTCCCTGTAATCATAGCCATTCTTTCTTTGTGTGTGTATGCATGTGTCTTATGATGAAAGACATTTTAGATGGTGCTTTGCTTGACTACAGTCTGGATTGGCTGGATGCTGATTCATATTCTGGACGTGGATTTTCTTCCAAGACAAGATCAAAAGAGATTTATGGAGCCCTTCTGCAGTTGAACAGTTTCAGTAGGAACAGATCAAAGATGATGGTTTAAAAATAAGAAAGAAAGAAAACACACACACACACGCACACACACACATACACACACACACACACACACACACACACACACACACACACACACTACAGGAGGAGAAAAGAAAACAATAGACTGGTAAGACAGTAACAGGTTTTATTCACTGACCTTCTATTCATTTAGAACAGTTTGTGCTTCTTGCTGGTTTGCTTTTTTTCGACGAGTCTAAACTGAGCTGTAACAACAACTTGTATCAGTGTCTGAGGATGTAAGTTGCACGTAAGTCCATCCATTAAGAGTACAATGGCCTGAAACCCCTGAACATAAAAAACAAGGGTTAATGTTGTTAATTCCAGCTTGACTCTTTCAGCTATGACAAAAATGCCTGCTGAGGATTAGGTCCAATTTTTAAAATCTCTGCTAATCTTTTCACTTCCTTTTCCTGTTGCATTAAAGACTAACATAATGTATATTTTATGGTTTAGAGCCTCTGAACCCAGAGTCTACGTCAGCACACAGGTAAGCTGATGTATCTCACAAAACAGATGGGGTAAAGCAGTCTTGTCTTGTTTGATAGCCATGTAGGTAACATAAAGACAGTCAGGCTAAGCAAACAAATCAAGAAGACCTTTTTGTTCCATTAAGGTGGAAAAAGAACTGCATAAAGCAAGGTCAGCCTGAGGTACTGAAAAAAATCAATAAGCAAATAAATAAAATAAACATGGAAAAACGCAAAACAGTGCCCATTTATTACATGCATATAGTAGCAACAGCAAGAGCTCCAACACACATGAAAAATTATCTTATAAAGCTGAAAACAGGCCCAACACCAAGTATGCACTGTGTCCAAGAAAGACATCTGATTGTGATGCTGGTGGTCATGAAATTTGTACTTTCTTTACAAAAAAAAAAAATTCTCCTGTGATATTCAGGAATGACAACAGTTTATAAGTTTTTAGATGTAAAATTATCAGAATATAGCAGAATTTGCATTAATCTTATATAATATTAGGTTCTGAACATGGGTTTATAAGTGTATGTGTTTTTATGGATTCACAATCAAATGTTATATGTTAACAATCTCAATAAAATAATGAGTCACAAAACTGCACAAATCAATTTTGGCATTTGTAAGCACTGACATGCAGCCTTTCATTTCTAACGTGTCACACTTTAGGACATAATTAAAAATCATCCTGTCCTTTTTGGGTTTTAAAATAATTCAAATAGAACCTGAGAAGAAACACACACACATATGATGCCGTGTCTTTCTTTACTCGGCAAAAACTGAGCCAAAATGCAGAAGCAGTGTGTTATTAAGTAGCATGTAAAATCACTGTTAGCAGTAAAATTATTATTTTTTGTTTGATTTTATCGGTCTCTCACATCATTGTGGATGAATATCCGCCTGCTCATCTTTACAGCGTTGCTTCAGTTCATCGAGGTTTGTTGGCATTTATTTGTACAGAGCTCTTTAAAGGCCAACATCTCAGTCAGGTTCAGTTCTGAACCATTCCGCTCCTTGATGCTTTTCTTTTGACAGCCTTTCTGATGTAGATTTGCTGCTGAGCGTAGTGCATTGTCCTCTTGCACCAGCCAGTTTGTGATAAGCTTTAGCCATCAGACAGATGGCCTCACATTTAACTTTAGAATATTTTGGTACACAGAGGAATTCATGATCGATTCAATGATTGAAAAAAACAGGTGGGCTTGGTTTTACATGGCTTTATGGCCACTTTGATCTCATCTATCCAAAGAACATTGTTCCAGAAGTCTTGTAGTTTGTTCAGATTCCACTTTGCAAACATTTGTGCTGTTGTGCTGTGTTGACATGTTCTTTTTAGGGATAAGGGGCTTTCTCTTGGTGACCCTTCCAAACAAACTATACTTATTCAGTCTTTTTATAACATACAGTATAGGCCTTTAAAATTTGACAGCTTTTGGGTTTTTCTTTGCAGTTTCTCTAAACTTTGTTTGGCCTGACAGGATGTTTGGCAACTGTCTTGAATGTCCACCGGTGAATAGTTGTTCTCACTGTAGAATGATGGAGTTCAAATTGTTTGGAAATGGCCTTGTATATCGCTTCCAAGATTGATGGGCGGTAACAGTTGCTTCTCTGAGATCACTGATTATATCTTTCCTCCTTGGCGCTGTGTTAACACACACCTGAAAGCTCCAGATCAGCAAACTGCCAAAACAAACTGGTTTTATGGAGACGCTCACACTGGCTAATAATCAGTTAATCAAGTGTATTTGATTAGCAGCACCTGGCTGCTTCTTACCCTCCTAATTTCAGTAGAAGCAGTGAGGGGAGTCCTTAGTTTTTTGCACACTGCTTCTGCATTTGCCTTCAGGTTTTTTTTTTTAATAAACAGTAACACAATGCAATATGTGAAGGTTTGTAGTTCACCTGATTTTGTGTTTACACACTTTTTAAACCTGCTGCCAATTTTTTTTTTATTATTCTCCAATATGTAAAAGCTTAGAAGTGACAGAGGGAGTACTTTCTTTTTAACATGAGTACACATCACTGTTACGCATATACAAATGCACACTGGTTTTCTTCATCTTGACTACACCATGTTTGCCATCAGGAGCTTGACTTCTGTACAACAGCCCCACTGAGCGCTGCACAGAGTAAAGATTCAGCACAACAGATGAACCTAAAAAAAACAAATCCACTCTCTATTATTTTCCTAACGAGCAGCAGTTTTGTTTTTGACGCTTCTGCTGTAAAGAGGCAGAGGAGACGAGCAGTGACAAGAGGTGGGAAGATGAAGAGATGAAGAGACGTGACATGAGATGAATAAATGCCTGCACAAGAAACAGATGAAGGGCAGAGACGATGAGAATGTGAAGAATTACAGTAACTGGAAAACAATTACCCTTTTTGGATATTTCTATGACCAAAAGTCTTTAAAAAATGTGTGTTTTACAACCACTTAATCATTCTTTAAGTGAGGAAGGTGAATTGCTTTCGACCAGCATTGTGTAACGTTGACTGTTACTCAGTTCTAATCACAAGCAGCTGATGATTGATGATGGTTAAAGTTAGGCTTTGATTGAAAAAGGAATCAATACCAGAGTAGTGACACTGTTCAGGCCATTGTTTTACGATCTGACATTGAAATAGCTCTGCCGATCAGTGATTATTACCACTTTTGAAGCCCTGGAAACAGGCTTCTGTCACATGATTGGATGAAACATCATCTCATATATTTCTCCCAACTCCTAACTAAAGTCAACCCCCATCCCAGGCACCTCATGTGCCCCAGCCTCAGCTCCCTTCCCCCCATATTCCCCAATGCCAGACGCAGTTGTCTAATTAAAGTGCTAGAAGAGCATTCACTCATGACATGCCCTAAGGGTGTGCCAAACGGGGCATGTATGCAGGAAGAGGGATAGAACTGGTGAAGGTGAGCAGCATCAGTGAAAGGGTTATATAAAGGGGGAGTGCAAAGGACATAGCAGGGAGGTTATTTACCCCAAGCAGGGACACAATAAGTCTTATCATTCCAGCAGATGAGTTGAGTGCTGTCAGTGTGAACCT